ATATTATATCTGCTTTATCTTTATTCAGTAATGTTTCTATCCTCCTTTTCATACTCTACCCCAGTCCTTTAACGTTTAAAGTTGAAATCCTTATTTCATTATCCAAGAGTTAAATCTAGTTCTTAATTTCTGGTCTCGTGTCTTAGGATACTTATCTAACCCATTCCCCATCCCAGTCAACCCCCTCTCCATCCCTTCCATACCCATACATTCCAATTTATCTTTCCCGCTATTTTTCTGAGGTATTTCACCTCTCCCATTATCCTAATTCTCCTCTCAAAAGGGGGGGGGGGAGAGGTTCCTCTGATCACAGAGCCATAGCAGAACTACTCAGTGATCAGAGATCACTGATGACATTTTCTAACATGAGTAGGCTAAGCATAGGAGAAGACAACCAGGATAAGCCCCTCTTCCAGGCAACATATCTACTTACCCCACGTCAGATCTCTAGAGAGATGTTCCTGCACACTGAAAGTCTCCAGCTCACAGATCAGTCCTTCAGCATTAGCAAGAGGAGATGAAGTAACCTGCCTGGATGACTGTTACATTCATAGTTCAACGTCAAGGCAAAAAGAGGGGAAACGAACAAAGGTTAATTGTACCTTCAGATAAGCAGACTACTTTTCAAATACACTCACGTTACTTCCCTATGCAGGCAAGCAAAGAGCATGATGGGAGAAATGTGGCTCAGAAAGAGTCCTGAGTGCCAAAGAGATGCCTCTGTCTGAGGTTCCCTGTTTCTGTTTTGTGCAGTGAATTAGGGACACATAATTCTGCAAGGGGTTCCCACAGGGTGGTATTGATATTGGCAACCTTCTTGTCATGTTTGCAGACATCTTTGTAACACAGAGCGGTCTGGTGCCAGAAGTCAGCTCCCCATAGAGCACGTTCTTGGGGATCCTGCCATCTTCCATTCTGTGATCAGGACCAAGCCAGCTGCTGGTGAAGTTGGACTTGCACTAGGAGCTGAGTTTTGTTAAGGAACCTACTGGAGCTTATCCAATTTATAGCTCACTTTACTTTGTATCCTTTGTATTCTTGCTTGTTTATCCATTCGATTTATATCTTGCCCTTCTTTCCAAAGTGTTTACTTCCAAAGCATTCGTCCTTCCAGACCTGAAGGTCTGCTTTATGCAGTAGAGGATGAGGATGTTATGATATGAGTACTCAGCAGCTGCGAACAAGCTCGATGTTTACATCACATGATGGGTCTAAGCGTGGGACAGGAAGTTCCAAGCTATTCTCAGAGTTGTGTTCTCAGTGTAACATGAAACCTTCCTGTTGTTTGTGTCCAGGAGGAGTGAGTCAGTTGCTCGGAGGATTCTGAGTGAGTGGTCATGCTTTTGTACAGTGTACAGTCAGGAATAAAAGTAGCAATGAAATAGACTACTTTTCAGACTGTTTTCTTTCTCCTGCTACTATGCAAGGGGGAAGGGAGTGTCAAAAGGGAGGTGTCGCTTATTCAAGACCTCCCTGGTCTGTCCGGATGCCAGCCAGGGTAGGTCACCGGCAACAGGCCCCGAGAGCCTGGGAAGAGGAGCCAGCCTTTCCCGAGGGGGCCAGTTTCCAACAGCGACATGATACCAACCGCCCTCTATTCATGCATGCACGGTCGTTCATGCCTTGAATGTGTGGAAATGGAGAGCTGCATGTAAATCCAAAGGCACATTTCTGTCTTTGTAATGACGTTGCCTTTTAGGCTTGGGAATCTGGGTGCTTGTGTTAAAAATATTCTTTATTAAAACCACAAGCTGTGAGACAAACAAAAGAATCACAATAGTCATGTGCACATACAAAACATACAGAATTTGAAGGCCAAAGACTCAAAGCAAATAATGCAATTCAGAGATAATCCCTTTCTGCTTGATTCATAAAAGGTGCCCATCTTACTCATTCCTTACCTTTTTTTATTATAATTTTATTTGCATCCTTACAAACTATTCAAAAGGAACATGTAAAAAAAGCAAAAGGAATAGAAAAAGAAACTACAAATGACTGATAACAAAAAAACAAAACAAAAAACCACCCCCACATATAGACTTCCCTTCCCCTCCTTCCCTGGTTTCTTTTCTTTTCCACTTCTGCATATTCTAAGTTGCCAAAATCTACTCTTCTTACTCTTTATCTCCTGCTTTCTCTTACACTGCTGAATTTATTCAAGGCCTGCCAATCTGTTCGCATATATATAGTGATTTTTTAAAAAATACTCAACATTTTCCAGTCCTTTTTATATTCTTGACCATCTTGTTCTCGTATCTTACTAGTCAGACATGCTAACTCCTCATATTCCAGCATCTTGAAATGTCATCTCTAGTCGGTACATTGTTTGTTCTCCATTTTTGTGCAAGCAAAATTCGAGCTGCTGTAGTGGGGGGGGGGAGCCCTTCTGTTGCTACCATTCCCCCCCAAAAAGGCTTCTGGTTTCGTTGTACATCATTTCCCAGAATTCCTTAATAACTTTGCACGGCCAACCCATGTGGTAATATGACCCTTCTACCTCTTTATACTCCCAGCTCCAAACATTTTCACTAATCTGCTTGGCGTTAAATACCATCTGTGGATCATTTTCAAGAGGTTTTCCTTCAGTAAATAACATGCAGTATATTTCAGGTCTGTTTCCCATAATTTCTCCCAGAATGCAAATTCAGTTATTTTGTCCCACATCCCTTGCCCAATTAATTGTACTGGGTTTCACAAATTCACCTTTCTTTTCCCTTTCTAGCAGCCGCCTGTACATTTTAGGCAATGTTTTCTCTTTAGTTCATAAAAGTTCCATTTCAAACTGGGAATTCTGGTCAGCAAACCCAATTTTTTGTCCATCTTAAATAGTTCATTAAGTTGGTGAATCTGAAGTCAATCCACCACTTGATTCTTTATCTCTTCCAATTTTTTTCAATCTGCGCTCCTGTTCTCTTAAATATAAGAGATCTCTGTAGGTTATCCACTGATGGTCCATGATACTTTCATTCCTTCCTATCGCGTCTACTGGGGATAGCCACAATGGTGATTTCCTTTCTAATCAGTTTTTTATGTTTTTCTTAAACTCTGTGTAGGTTTTTTCTAATCACATGGTTTGAAAAGTTTTTACATATTTTCACTTTCTCATACCAGATTTAATATCATGCCCTTCCAAGTCTAATAGCTGAAGATCTTTGAGTTAAATCCATTCCTTTAGCCAGCACATTCATTTAACTCAACCACTGAAGGAATAATAATATTGCTTGGCCAATGAACAAGGATGATGGGAGGTGTAGCACAATAGCATTTGGAGGGCATTACCATATTTTTCGCTCCATAAGACGCACCAGACCATAAGGCACACCTAGTTTTGGGAGGAGGAAAACAAGAAAAAAATATTCTGAATCCCAGAAGCCAGAACAGCAAGAGGGATCTGGCTTCTGGGGTATCGTGTGGCTGTTCTGGCTTCTGGGATAACCGCGCGAAGCCTCTTCAGGGCAGCCGGATGAAGGCTGCCCCTGCCTGAAGAGGCTGCGCATGGCTAAGGCAGAAGCCAGGACAGGCGCGTCGCTGAAGGGGCGCTGCACAGTTCTCCCTCTCTTAAGTTCCTCCTCCGGCTTCGCAGGACAGGCGCATCGCTGAAGGGGCGCCGCGCAGTTCTCCCTCTCTGCGCAGCACCTCTCCTTCGCAGGAGAGGCACTGCGCAGAGAGGGAGAACTGTGCAGTGCCCCTTCAGCGAAGCTGGAGAAGGAACAGAAGGAGTCCCTTCTGTTCCTCCTCTGGCTTCCAGGACAGGTGCGTCGCTGCGAAGCGGGAGGAGGAACAGAAGGAGTCCCTTCTGTTCCTCCTCCTGCTTCGCAGGACAGGCGCGTCGCTGAAGGGGCGCTGCACAGTTCTCCCTCTCAGAGGAAGAACAATGGGATCTCACCCCCTCGCGGGGATTCGAACCGCTGACCTTCTGATCGGCAAGCCCAAGAGGTTCAGTAGTTTAGACCACAGTGCCACCCACGTCCTTTTGTTGTAGTGTTCTGTATATAGTATGCTTAGTGTTAAGTTGTTGGTGAACATATCAGACGACACAGCGATTCTTCAAACAGCTCTTGTTTATTCACAGGCCAGAACACAACTGAACTGAAGGGTTCAGCCAGCCTGCTTTACAGAGCTCCACTAGAATGCAACAGTAACCATTTTCTGCAACTATCCAATCACTGAACGTCACTTTCGATCCCTTATTTGCATATGTGGACCTGAACTATCTACAGTATCCCCCTGCTGGCCCAGGGTGAGAACTTCAGTACATAACACTTAGTGTTACAGTTTTAGTTTTATTGTAAGTTATTGTAAGTTTAAATTAAGTCTGCTGCAATTGGATTTCTTATGGACAGTGCCAATCCTGAATGTATTGGATTTGTGACCATTATGCTCATTTGCCTTCTGTAGCAGTAAAGCTCTGCTGGATGAAATCTTAATTGCCTCTGGTCTCTTTATTGGGAAGCCTGCAATGTGTTTAAGTTTTTACTCTGCTAAGTATACATTGGAATGTGCTCTGGATAAATATTAGTAGAATGCATGTCAGTTTGTCAGGGTTTGTGCTCAAATGACCCCAGCCACTCCTGCTTGGTTGGCAGCAGAGTAGAATAGCTTGCAAGATGATGTGTAATTCAAAACAACAACAACAACAACCTCAGACTCAGTAAACTCTATTAGTAAAAGTTTACTAAAGGCATAACATGAGCTTGGTGGTACAATTCCAGCTCCCTGGAAGGTAAAAGTCTCTCAAAAATCTGGTTGCTGCACAATTTAACAGAAAAAACAAAACTTAAACGTCTATGTACACTTAGCAAGTAAAAATCAGCACAGATTGAGAGGAAAAGAACAGGAATGAGTAGAATAACACAAGACTCCTTTTGGCCTGTAATTATAGACATCCCTGAAAGCACTTTGTCTTTGGGTAAGAGATAACACACTGAGATTTTCCCAGCTGCACGTCTCTGTTCCCTTGATAACTTTCCTCACACACAGAACACCCTAGAAACTTCTGTTTAATTATATAAGCACACTAGAAACGTCTGTAGATTCTGTGCCTTAGAAACGCCATCAAACCTGATCCCTGGCACAGTATTCAGGCGAAAAGCCAGCCCACCTGTCAGGAGAGAAAGGGAGCTAGTAAGGGCAATAGGTCGAGGAGAATAAAACACTATCTGAAATAGCCAAATCACTGACCCCAGCATTACCTCCCTTGCACATCAGTGGGATCATGCCTGGATCGTCAAAGCCCTGCCATTCTAACAGGCACAGATGTTTTCTGTTCCACAGAACTACATTGTGCATTTTGGAATGACATCCAATACCCCTTTTTAATGTGTTGCGGGGAGGGGAGATATTGGGTTGTTTTAGTTCTCATTTTGATTATGTATTCTGTGTTTTTATATTGTGATTTTATATTGTGAAGCACCCTGAGACCCGCAGGTATAGGACAGTGTGGCGATCACACAGGGCCACCAGACATTTCACGGTCTATTGACCCTGTGCCACCACTGCATTAGCGTTCTTCGCTGCCACCACCCCGCTTCTCATGGGGACACACGGAGTCCAGACAGTTGTTAACATAAACAAATAATCAAGTTTATTTTTAAATGCAGGAACAAGCATATAGTTTCCGTTTATTTCTCTTGACAGTTTCTTAAATCTTAGTTCCTAACAACTTCAAACTGAATTATTCCCAACTATCTATCTGACTCCACCTAACAATTCCTCTCACTCTCTCACAATACAACTCTACCAACCCACTCCTAATCCACCCTCTTCCTTCTCCAACACCCAAGCCTCAACTCCCAACTGACAAACCTCAACTCCCAACTCCCAAACCTCAACTGCTTTTCAAAACCTCCCACTCTATCTTTTACTCCCCCCTTGCATTCTCACTGGCCAATCACATCACATCCATTTTAACCCTTTCCTTGACCCATCCTAGGAGGCAAACACCACAGGCAGCATACAAATTTTATTATTGTTACTATTATTATTATTATTATTATTATTAATAATAATTTTGAGACTTCTACAAGGGACTCCTCTTCCAAGACATGCCTCCATCTTTTTTCATAGGTTTTCAAATAGATGCACTGTGGGGTAATGCAAAACCAATCTGGAATGAGCTTTTAGTTTTGGAATGAAACCAATTTATCAAGAAGTGCTTTGGAGTAAAAGAATAGATCGAGATTGCCTGTGGATAAACCAAGTACTCTGCCTCCATGCATTCTAGAATATAATATCATTTGTACTCAGCCAAAGCCTCTGGGGCAGTTTGCAAGGAATAAGGGCAGTGAATTCCAAATTGCTGAAGTTTGGTACAAATGTATTTCTGTAGTCCGGAAGTCCTGCCGACACACTTAGGTCAAACTTGATTTAGATGTTTTTCCTGCCCTTCGAGCTGAATCTGGGAAAGCCTGATTTCTTCAGAGTGTTGGTAAGAAGGGAGAAAGATATTTCCGAATGGTTTTCAATGCAAAACATACAGAAGTAATCCATGCTTTCAGAAAAGAAGCACACCCAGGGGATTGGTTCACATTCCGCCCTCTTCCTCTTTTGCTGAGAGTAGAATTGTGAGTATGGCATGTCACATTCAGAAACTGTCCAATATGTGAACCTCCACCTGCAGCCAAAGTGGCACGCTGCCAGGGACACAAGTACATGATGATGCTAAACATGTAGATCAGCCCCAAACTGTTTGCTAATGAAAGAATGCAGCTGGCAACTCCATGCGAAGGTAAAGACACACGTATTCAGCATTTCCCAGTTGACATATACTCACCAGTTATAAGGAAGAGAGGAAAGGAGGCCCAGCCCAAGCCAAAAGACCATCCGTAACTGGCCAGTGATCCCACATGCCCTGTGTAACTGGCCATGGCAATCAGGACACAAACAGCTAGGAAGAAAAAAATACGTTAGGATATAAAGTTACTTGTAAATTAAATTCTGGAAGCAGACCTGGAAGCTGCAGCTAGTGAAATGCAGTGGCTGGAAGAACTACTCTGGTAGCCAGAAACAGATGCTTATGACCCCCCCATAATACCTGCAAGAATGCTGGCTATAGCTGAGGTCTTGGCCCTGGAGATGAAGCCAAACTGGAAGTCAAAATATTTGCCACAAAGACCAAGGCAAGAGATGGCTCCAGCAGTCATCCCAAGCAGCATGAAGACTCTGGTACTATGGACAAAATCTGGACGGGAGGTTGGGAGGGAGGGAGGGAGAAAGCAAGAAAGCAAGCAAGCAAGCAAGCAAGAAAGCAAGCAAGCAAGCAAGCAAGCAAGAAAGAAAGAAAGAAAGAAAGAAAGAAAGAAAGAAAGAAAGAGGTTAAATGCATCCATGGGATTGGACAATTAATTGCATTGCAGACATCCTGTGTAATACCTCATGCCTGGGATGGATAGATCAGTCCTTATCTGTTCCACATCCGTTTTGCAAGTATGCTGTTCCATTTCAGAATTAATCTGTATTTTTCAAGAGAATCCCCAACTTAAATAAATAACATTAATTTAGACATGAAAGAACATTAATTTAATAACATTAATTTAGACAAGAAAGAAGATTCCACCTAAACATTAGGAAGAACTTCCTAACAGTAAGAGCTGTTTGACAGTGGAATTTGCTGCCAAGGAGTGTGGTGGAGTCTCCTTCTTTGGAGGTCTTTAAGCAGAGGCTTGACAACCATATGTCAGGAGTGCTCTGATGGTGTTTCCTGCTTGGCAGGGGGTTGGACTTGATGGCCCTTGTGGTCTCTTCCAACTCTATGATTCTATGATTCTATGATGCTATGATTCTATGGCATAGTGGGGCACTACTTTGTGATGGTGTTCCTAATCCTACCTGTGGGGGTCAGTACCTGAATGGAGCAAAGTGGGGCTGTTAACATTGGTGGCTGATGCTTCTGAGTACCGGTGGTGGGGGTGGTAGCAGGAAGTCCAACAGTAAGTGTCTCATTATAAGTTAGGAGGCTGGCAGGTGGGGGCTGGCTGAGAACAGAATGAGGTTGGTGGGGCAATGCCCCATTTGCCCTGAGAGTAAAAGGTAAAGGTAAAGGGGCCCCTGACCATTAGGTCCAGTCGTGACCGACTCTGGGGTTACGGCGCTCATCTCATTTTATTGGCCGAGGGAGCCGGTGTACCACTTCCGGGTCATGTGGCCAGCATGACTGAGCCGCTTCTGGCAAACCAGAGCAGCACACAGAAATGCCGTTTACCTTCCCGCCAGAGCAGTACCTATTTATCTACTTGCACTTTGACATGCTTTCAAACTGCTAGGTTGGCAGGAGCTGGGACCGAGCAACGGGAGCTCACCCCGTCGCGGGGATTCGAACCGCCGACCTTCTGATTGGCAAGTCCTAGGCTCTGTGGTTTAACCCACAGCACCACCCGCGTCCCTGAGAGACCAGCCTCTTATTACCCAGCACGATGGTTATTGAGCTGTTGCAACACCTGCCACGTTCCTCAGGTGTTCATTCTGCCCTCTCCCCCCAATGCTGTTTAACATCTCTATTAAGATGCTGAGAGATGCCATCAGGAGAGGTAGCTGAGGTAACATTTTGTTTTCATTTCATTTATTAGACTTATCAGTCACTTTTTCACCTGATGGTCTCCAAGTGACTTACAGCGAAAAAAGGAAGAAAAGTAATACATAATACCATAGAGTGAAAAGGGAGGGGGAGAGAGAGAGAGCATATAATACCTTAATATTTCATGTAACATAAATTGCATTGGGGGCACATACACAGCAATGTTCTGACCCACCTATTAGCAGATAAACAAAACCTCCACCTCTGCCTAGTCCTAAAGTCATTGCCACTGAACCAACATTTCCCCTCAGTTAACCTCTCCACCCCACCCAGAAGTCTCAAGGCCAGCTGTTGCAAATCAGTGGTAGGTGGGCCCAGTGTCCTGCAGGATGGTCCAGCGTCTCTCTTCTCCTTTCATCACGGAGCAGTAGCAAAGCAGGAAGATGGTAATGGAAGTTTTAGCTGCTTTGCAGTTGACCAGACTACTGTTCCTCCTCCTGCTGGTTCAGGTGCCACTAAGATGCAATTTGTGGAGTCCTGGGTATTGTTACAAGCTTATCAGATGTTCCTCAGTGTGAAGCTAGTCACAGTGGGACAACATCCATTAAAAAACCACAAAAAACTAGTCCCAAACTGCCAATCTCCCTCTGCAGTACACACACACACACACACACACACACACACACACGTGTCACATGAAGCGGCAGTGGGACAAAGCAAGCCTGCGAATTAAGTGTGCAGTCATCCCAGGATCCTTTGCAGCATGCAGAAAGGTTGTGGTTGATAGTGATGGACAGGGACTCCCAGGGGCGCCAACTTGGGCCCCAGATTATGAGTGCCCAGTGGCACACCGTGATGTAATGTGATGTCATGATGTCATGTTATGTTGCGCATGCTGCGGCAATTACCTGGGAGTCCTGGAAGTCACGTCTGAGGCCTTGAACGCAACCAGCAAGGCCTCTGACCTGACTTCCTTGAGAAACTGGAAGTCACATCAGAGGCCCTGAAAGGCTTCGAATGCAATTTCTGAGGCCCTGTGAGGCCTCCAATGCACTTTTTGGGGCCTCGCAAAGCTCCAGAAGTCGTATTGGAGGCCCCACAGTGTGCGTGCCAAGCACCCAGGTGTCCAGGGCCCCCTATTGTTAGTGCCAGTGGGGACTCCTCAGCAAACAAAAGTGGTGTCGTGATGGATCACCTGTTGCATATATTATACCACAGTAAAGTCCGTGATTTTTGGAGATCAGATGGGAATCAGTGATATGGAGTACCATCACCATTTTTATGCTGCCCATAGCAGCCATTTTGTGCTGGAACCCACTGCACTCAAGTTAGTGCTGAAGACCACACCACTAGGACTCTTAGCAGAAGACAAAAATCTTACTATTCACATCCGTCCCAAGTGACCTACAACCAGAATTGACTCCATAATAAACACAAAATCTCCAGAGGCCAATGGTTCTATTGCTATCTGCTACCCAGTGGTCTGATCCCAGGGCAATGAGGAAGAGCAGAAGACTGATGAAACTGCAAATCATGGTGCCGATCTGTAGGGCCAGCATTGTGACAATGGTCAGGTCTTGTGACTGCTCAGATGACGAACCTGGGGAAGGGAGACATGCGCATTATTCCACATAAATTGCAGTCTGTGTTTGGGTTTAAAATTCGTATATGTGCCGAGAGGCCTACAGCACATTGTACTGTCATGAAGATGTCCTCAGGTGTGCAGACTATGATAGGCAATTAATACTTCTCCATTTCAGGTTACTAATAATCAGTGCTTTTTTCTAAAAAAATGTTTAGGGGTACTGTCATTTTCCTACTCATATCTAAATACTGCCCTTCAATGAGGTCAAACTTAGATTCACAACATGTTTAGGGGTATACTTACCCCTGCATCCCCCCAGAAAAAGCAATAATAATAATAATAATAATAATAATAATAATAATAATACAGTGGTACCTCTGGATGAGAATGGGATCCGTTCCGGAGCCCCGTTCGCATCCTGAGCAGAATGCAACCCGCGTCTGCACATGCGTGGGTCACAATTCGCCACTTCTGCACATGCGCGTGACGTCATTTTGAGCATTTGCACATGCACGAGCGGCGAAACCTGGAAGTAACCCGTTCCGTTACTTCCGGGTCGCCACGGAACACAACCTGAAAACGCTCAACCTGAAGCTACTTTAACCCGAGGTATGACAGTAATAATAATAATAATTTATTATTTCTACTCTGCCCATCTGGGTGGCTCCCAACAGAATATTAAAAACACCATAAAACGTCTCAGAAGTTGATAGTTTTTATTTATTTATTTTTTAAAAAACTATTTTACTGCAAAAGTCTGGTTCAAAACAATTGCTTTTAGTCTATTTCATCGGCTCCAGTTATGCGAAGTACCAAAGTCCGCCAGCATTCAGCTACTGAAAAATATTCCTTTCTCCTAGAGAAATCAAGAGGCTATTGTCTCACAAGGCTCAGAATCTCCACCTCCTTTCGCTAGGTGAAAGGAACCCTGGAACAAGCCCCTGGCATGCTTTTACTCTGCAACCCACTCACCAGGGGTGGGCAGTATACCCACCTCTGATCAAAGGGTACCACCTCTCTGTGGATGGTCCTCATCTCTTTTCCCTGACCCTCTGCATCATTGTGCTTTCTTTTGACTTCTGAACTGCTGAACTGTGGGGTGGTAGGCTCTTTCTGGATACTGGTTCCGTCAGAGATTAGAATGATGCACATACACTATACCCTTTGGCCCACACCTTTGCTAGGATTGCTGAGCTTCCTGGTCCTGCTGCTGCTCCTTCAGACCATTAACTATCCACTGGCCTTTTCTGAGCCTTCCTCCCTTCTAGAGGAGAGATCACTGATGGCATTTCCTAACAAGAGTAGGCAAAGCATAGGTGAAGGCAACCAGTATAAGCCCCTCTTCCAGGCAACATATTTGCTTACCCCACGTGAGAGCTCCGGAGAGATGTTCCTGCACACCAAAAGCCTCCAGTTCACAGCTCAGTCCTTCTCTCTGCTTCTCCTTTGCTCTGTCTTCAGAGGTTACAACACACAAACAACTTGCAACAGGCCTTCAGCATTAGGCAAGAGGAAATGGTGCAACTCACCTGGATTGCCACTGTGTTCCAGAAATGATCAAGAAGCCATTGGCCAACAGCAAGGCAAAAAGTGGGCAGAGCAACAAAGGTTAACTTCTCTGAAGTCTTATCCTGTGTTGGGGAGATCACCCCATCCCAATCTCCCATAAGGCACCAATTCTCATATGGAAAATCCACCAGTCTATACATAAGTCCTTTGTAAAGAGATAAGTGTGAATTTTGAAAGATGTTTTGGTTTGCTTATTGTTACAGAAAGTGTGATTCAAATGCAGACTGAATCAAATCCCCACCCCTAGGGCTAACTTGGCTGTCCCAATCCCAATCCACTCTCTGGCGAAGTTGGACTTATACCCTAGGAGTTGTGTTTTGTTAGAGGATGTACTGGAGCTTATGCCATTTGTAGCTCACTTTATTTTGCATCCATTCTTGTTTGATTATCCATTCAAAGACAGCGTGCACACATATGTGTGCATGATGGGCGGAGGCGCGGCGCAGCGTGGAAGGTCAACAGAACACCAGCCCTCACCACCAATGTCGCTTGGCATGTGCACAGGGTGAGGAGGGTTTGCAAAGCCCATGCGCCAGCTCAGCCCCGGCTACTGGAGCCAAGCAGGGCTGTTCTTGTTGGGAATTCCATTCCACCCTTTTCTGCAGACATGGGACTGCTGTGTGTCACATGTCTGTTTACATTCCAGCACAGACTGCTGGCGTGAGCAGAACTTCTGCTCTGTATTACTATTCAGTCTCTCTCTGAGAAGACAGCAAGAAGAGATGCCATGTTTTCTTTGTCCTGATTTATGTATAATAAATGTGTAGTTTAGCATGTGTCTACAGCCTCAAGCCTCTTCTGTTGCACAGTTTGCACTGCTGAGGAAAGTGTGCTCAAGCCTGCAAGCTTGAGTCACTGATACACATCGAAGCAGAGGTTGATGGATCTCCATAGCAGCAAGGCTGAGGGGAGATGCTCTAGCTGGGGCCAAGCCATCTGGCCATTAGACCCCCGATTCTGACAGTTCTGAGCCCTTTCCTGCCTGTGTAGGATTGGCCTATGCGGCCCTTCACTGGCAAGTCGTCGTGTCCCCCGCCCCGACACTGGCCAAGCAACCATTCCATGAGGGATGGGTGAAGCGACAAATTTCGGTGTATTTCTGTTTCTCGTTTGTCCAATCTTCAGTTCGGTTCAGCTGGAGGGGAGTTTGTCCAGTTTATAGCTCACGTCACTTTGTACCCTTTTTATGCATTTGTACGTTTTTATGCAATTACCTATTCAATTTATATCCTGTCCTTTCTCCCAAAGGAGCATAGCAAGCCTATCGACAACCACATAACCCCTTCTCTTACAATCAGTAAAAAATGCTTTATGATTTTAGCTTGGTCTTTTTGCTTCTTATTGTCACCCACTAAAGATTTGTAAAGTTTGTTTTGAGCCGGCATCCTTACTCATTTGAGCCAGGTAGAGCCTCGCTGAGAAAGACTTCCTTCCTCAGCAAACCCACATCCTCATGAAAATAACAGAATATGAAGGCAAGAACTCAAAGCACATAATTTAATCCATAGACCATTCTTTTCTGCTGGATGCACTGAAAAAGCTTGGTTTACTCATTCCTTGACTTTCACCCAGCTATTGAAGGAATAATATCATTCATAATTATTCTTAATTTTTAGATCATCATATGTTGGGCAGATACTAAACTGTAGATATTCTTTAACCTCATTTTTTTTAAAAAAAAAATTAAAATTAAAATTAAAGTCTGTGTTTGGGGAAGGAATGATTTGGTTTTGCAGAAGTATCCTTGCTGCTGTTGTTGCATACATAAAAAATGTCTGGTCCTTCTTTGCCACCCCTTGGCTGACAATACCCAGAAGGAAAGCCTCTGGTTTCTTGGTAAAGGTATATTTAAATACCTTTTTCAATTCATTATAAATCATTTCCCAGAACGCCTTCACTTTAGGGCAGGTCCACCAGAGGTGGAAGAACGTTCCCTCACACTCTTTACATTTCCAACACTTATTATCAGACAGGTGGTAAATTTTTGCAAGTTTAACTGGGGTCATATACCATCTATAAATCATTTTCATTACATTTTCTTTCAGAGCGTTACATGCAGTAAATTTCAATCCATTACTCCACAACTTTTCCCAGTCCTCAAACATAATATTATACCCAATGTCCTGTGCCCACCTTATCATAGCCGATTTAACCATTTCATCTTGTGTATTCCATTCCAACAGCAAGTTATACATCCTTGAAAGTACCTTAGTCTTTGGTTCTAACAATGGAATGATTTGCTTCTCATGCCGGGCTAGGCACTCTGCTGCTCTCCAGATGATGTTGGACTTCAACTCCCATCAGCCTCAGCTACAGGGTCATTGGTCAGGAATGGAAATCGTAGTCCACAAAAGTTTGGAGGCACCTCACTGGGTAGTCCTGTTCTACAGTATTCAGGAAAATGATTCCAATTTATTACAAAGAGACCTTGTTTCTGTTTCTTCTCACTAAAGTACATTCCTTTTCCTTCAGCTCGAACCTGCCCCAGTGCAGGCTGCGTCTCTGTGCCCCACTGTATCAACTTGGCTCCAGGTGTCATCTGAAGTGGAAGCACAGCCTTTTCTTCATGCTCATGCTGACCCACCAGTATCCAAGGGGAAAGCCAGCCCACCTGTCAGGAGAGAAAAGGGGCTGATTAGGGCAACAGGGGAGCAGAACAAAACACCACCCAAGATATCTGGGGCTCTGACCCCAGCATTACCTCTCTTGCTCATCCTCCAAGACCTGCTGTTCTCATGGACCAAAATATATTCCCTTTCACAGAAACACACTGACTGCGCATTTTGAGACTTCTCCAAGGGACTAGTCATGGGCAGAAATGGAAGCTTCTAGGAGTGGATGGATAAGCCTATCTCCCATCCTTGTCATTAATGCATAAACCTGTTCCAACCCATTTTCACATCACACTGTAAATTATCTATTTTAAAATAAAACGTAACAAGAACTAGTGTGTATCCACAACATGCAAATATAAACATGTATCTTAGGTCAACATATGCATTACTAAAATACATATTTTGATGTATATGTGCTGATTTTTAAAACAAGAGGCTTCTATCAATGTCCTCCATGGGCACATCAAAAAATGAAGATCATGGCCACTGGTCCCATCACCTCCTGGCAAACAGAAGGGGATAAAATGGAGGCAGTGATAGATTTTACTTTCTTGGGCTCCATGATCACTGCAGATGGTGACAGCAGTCACGAAATTAAAAGACGTCTGCTTCTTGGGAGAAAAGCAATGACAAACCTAGTCTGCATCTTAAAAATCAGAGACATCACCTTGCCAACAAAGGTCCATATAGTTAAAGCTATGGTTTTCCCAGTAGTGATATATGGAAGTGAGAGCTGGACCATAAAGAGGTCTATTCTTTAAGGAAAGGTCTGTATAGTTAAAGCCATGGTTTTCCCAGTAGTGATGTATGGAAGTGAGAGTTGGACCATAAAGAAGGCTGATCGCCGAAGAATTGATGCTTTTGAATTATGGTGCTGGAGGAGACTCTTGAGAGTCCCATGGACTGCAAGAAGATCAAACCTATCCATTCTGAAGGAAATCAGCCCTGAGTGCTCACTGGAAAGACAGATTCTGAAGTTGAGGCTCCAATACTTTGGCCACCTCATGATAAGAAAAGACTCCTGTTGGTTTTTTCCTACCTCATAGCAATCATCACAACTTTAGTGGTCTAGGCCAGGGGTAGGCAACCTAAGGCCATGGGCCACAAGCAGTTCATTTAAATGGCCCATGAGCCACCCCCAAACTGAGCTGCCCACTCGGTGAGTCCCCGCACACTGTGCAAAACTGGCACAGCACGGCGCAAGGACTCGCTTCCCTGGTGCCCAAAATTGTGTCTGCACAGGCTCAGATGCTGAAAACCACCTGAAATAGCGGCCGCACGCACTCATACACACACCTAATCTGGCCCACAGATGGATCTCCACTGGAATGAACCGGCCCAAGCGAGTTAAACCTTGCCAACCCCTGGTCTAGGTATTGGATGTTCCTCAGTCTTGGTTGGGCAGGGGAAAGGTTGCAGTCTTGGTCTACCCCTCCCCAGATGTAGGGTATCCCGTTAAAGGGGTCCAGGAGGAGTTGCTTCTGGCTGTATGCCCAGGCGGAGGCTTGGACCTCAGCACTCCTCAAGGTGGTGACCCCCATGGGAGTCCCCCTATTTGACGTAAGCCAGAGGAACCCCTGCTGCTGTGTTGACCCTTGGTGTCACTTCCGGCAGGCGGGTTGGAAGTAAATGGTTGACCTACGCCTACGCCAAACCTCTTGCCTCTGATGTCAATAAAGGTGTGGCCTGGTTTGATCCCATTCAAGCTGTGCCATGTCCGGAGAGTTGGGGGGAGTGCAGAGCCTGGTCATGCAAGTCAGGCATTATGGAGTCCTTCTGGCATAGTGGGGAAGAGAGGGTGCTGATTTGCAATAGGTCCTTTCATTGCTGTTAAGGGAGATGCAGGATGCGGTCCTATGAGATAACTGTTCTACTCCACAGGGATTGATTTTGGACCCCCTTAGATACGGGGGGTCCTTATCCTTCATGCTATTTAACACCTATGTATATACTAACCCCATAGGGAGCACACACAAAAATCATTTTTCTTAACCCACAATCATTTGTGCTCATCCTCAACATGCTGCTTTCAATCTAAATTAATTCTAGATCCTGGCATCCTACCCACAAGGGTGGGTGTGGTGTCATAAAACCTTTCACCTAATTAGGGTATCCATATTTTTGCTTCCCTGCCCATGCCTCAAATAATTGAAGAAAGAAGCGCTCTTGGTATATACCAACCCACAATGTCATTGGGCAGGTAAGGATGCTCTCACACACACCTGCTTTCATCTGTGTTCAAATGGAAACACTGTAGAGCAGCCCCAGACTTGAATAATGCAGCTGACAATGCTACATGAGGGCAAACTTTTTAATAAAGATGTGTATTTTCAGCATTTCCCATTTGACACATACTCACCAGTAATAAGGAAGAGAGGAAAGGAGGCCCAGCCCAAGCCAAAAGACCATCCATAAAAGCCATTTCCTCCTGTCTGCCCTGTGAAGGTGGCCATGGCAATCAGGACGCAACCAGCTAGGAATAAAAAATACATCAGGATATCAAGTTACTTGTAAATTAAATCCTTGATGCTGAGCTGGAAGCTGCAACTAGTGCAAAATGGAGAGGATCAACTACTCACTGGGGTAGAATATGACCAACATATATACTGCTGCTGAAAGAAATGCACTGGTTGCCAATCCGCCGCTGTGCAAGGTTCAAAATTAGTGTACAAAGCCCTATATAGCTATGGACCAGTGTGCCTAAAACATCATCTCACCCCTTACATCCCAAGCTGACCACTGTGCGCTGCAAGAGATGGCATCCTGCAGGTCCCAGGCTATGAGGAGGTCCGCTCCACGTGATCTCAAAATCGGGCCTTTGATGTAGTGGCACCTACACTTTGGCACTCCCTCTCATTATATATCAGACAGGCACCTCCATTATTGTCTCTCTGGTGCATGCTAAAGATGTACTGCATTCGACAAACCTGCTAAAGTCTTTATCCCAGCTAGTACCTGTCCTGGATTTGAATTGATTGTGCATTATGTGATGCTGTTCTAAACAGTTTTTCGTATTTATGGTTGTTATTTTTCACATCATTTTCATATTAAATTGTTTAACTTTTTTATATACGTATCAGTTACATATAATAAAAAGTAAGTGTGTCATCACTCAAACACAGACAGGTGGTGATGTGAAATAAAGTGTGATGAGCAACGGTGAATGGGTGGCTCAAGCGAGGGACTGCCACAACATGTTGCAGCCATTTCTGAGCAGCAGCCCAGCTCTGCTGGCCACCTTTCTGCCTTGCCTTGCTCCTCCTGCCAGCCAAGCTGCCAGGCGGTGGAGGCAAAGGTAGAAAAAGGAAGGTTTTAGGAGCATGCCTTGCCGAAGAAGGGGGACGTAGTTTTTGTTGGGTGAACTCCACTTCTCTTTGCAGTGATGCTTTTGAAGCTGCTCTATACAGGTCTTTTCCATCTCCAACATTGCAGTTGGAAAAGAGCCACTTCTAGGGAGGCTTTGAAGATCATTTGTGATCCTCTTCTTCTCCTTTGCATCATAATATTGGAAGTGCAAATAAGAAGGGGGAGGATCATGAAGGGTTTTATGAACTGGCTCTTCTCCTTTGCATTGATGGAAATGGAATCAGATGCATATGACCCCAAGGATACCTGCAACAAGGCTGGCTATGGCTGAGGTCCTGGCCCGGGAGAGGAAGCCAAACTGGATTCAAGCAACAGCATTTTGCATGGACATTTCAGCTTGGCACAGTCTACAGCTTTGTGTTCAGGGGCTTGAGGGACTTGAACTGACTGGAAGCAGATGCTTATGACCCCCCATAATACCTGCAACAATGCTGGCTATGGCTGCGGTCTTGGCCTTGGAGATGGAGCCAAATTGCAAGCTAAAAAATGTTCCACAAAGAATAATGCAAGAGACAGCTCCAGCGATCATCCCAAAGAACATGAACGCTCGGATGGCATGGACGACACTTTGAAGGGAGGAAGAGAAAGGAAGAAGGGGGTTAAATGCCCGTAACAGCCAGGGAGACCAACAGTAGGCAATGCCAGAAGCCACGTGGGGCAGAGCCAACCCCTGGCAGGTGGGGGTTGGCAGTGCCCCATTTGCCCTAATGGATCAGGCTCCAATAATAATAATAATAATTTATTATTTATACCCCGCCCATCTGGCTGAGTTTCCCCAGCCACTCTGGGCAGCTTCCAATCGAATGTTAAAAACAATACAGCATTAAATATTAAAAACTTCCCTAAACAGGGCTGCCTTCAAATGTCTTTTAAAGATAAGATACTTCTTATTTACTCCACAGGGCGGGCACCACTACCGAGAAGACCCTCTGTCTGGTTCCCTGTAACCTCACTTCTTGCAATGAGGGAACCACCAGAAGGCCCTCGGCGGTGGATCTCAGTGTCCGGGCTGAACAATGGGGGTGGAGACGCTCCTTCAGGTATACAGGACCGAGGCCGTTTAGGGCTTTAAAGGTCAGCACCAACACTTTGAATTGTGCTCGGAAACGTACTGGGAGCCAATGCAGATCTCTCAGGACCGGTGTTATGTGGTCCCGGCGGCCACTCCCAGTCACCAGTCTAGCTGCCGCATTCTGGATTAATTGCAGTTTCTGGGTCACCTTCAAAGGTAGCCCCACGTAGAGCGCATTGCAGTAGTCCAAGCAGGAGATAATTAGAGCATGCACCACTCTGGCAAGACAGTGTGCGGGCAGGTAGGGTCTCAGCCTGCGTACCAGGTGGAACTGGTAGACAGCCGCCCTGGACACAGAATTAACCTGCGCCTCCATGGACAGCTGTGAGTCCAAAATGACTCCCAGGCTGCGCACCTGGTCCTTTAGGGGCACAGTTACCCCATTCAGGACCAGGGAATCCCCCACACCTGCCCGCCCCCTGTCCCCCCAAAACAGTACTTCTGTCTTGTCAGGATTCAGCCTCAATCTGTTGGCCGCCATCCATCCTCCAACCGCCTCCAGGCATTCACACAGGACCTTCACCGCCTTCACTGGTTCTGATTTAAAGAAGAGGTAGAGCTGGGTGTCATCTGCTTACTAATGAACACCCAGCCCAAACCCCCTATTACTCAGCACCATGATTATTTTTTTAATTTAGGAATATCCCTACCCCACCTACTAACCAAAGTTCTTGAGGCAGGTTACAATAAGTTCAAAACACTATTTTAAAAAGGCAGCGGTGCAATCATCAAAACAGCTCAGAGTCTCCCCTAACCCCTGTTCTCCAGCGTTCCAAGAAATGCCAGCCTGCAGCTGCATCGTCAGTATGTCCTCACTGGGTGGCTGCTGTTGTCTCTCACAGCTCCAGCCCTCCTGGCAGATGCAGGAGTTGCTGGCTCACGTACTTGACATTTCAAGCACTGCAGTGGTTCATTTGACGGATCCATGTGCATCCCTTCTGTGCAAGGAAGGAATTTTTGACTTGAAGGAGCAGTGCAGTGTCTTTTGGCTGAATCCCGGGCAACCCCTTGGGCAGTATTCGCCACAGATTTCATACTCTAAGTCAGGGAAGGAAAACACTTCCTGGCAGAGAAACAGCTGTGTTCCAAAGGAGATGTGGGAACTTGCATCCTCACGCCCTCACCAGCTCCTTGTTTACACTCCAAACATGGCCAGAAGCTCATTGCGACTGCGCCAAGTCTCCCCATAACCCTCCCCATTGCAGTGAAGGCATCCTGTCATTGGTGATGTTTCAGGCGTGACGCTGCAGTGCTGGTGTACTTGCAGGTGTCAGCTACCACAAGCAGGAAGCTACGGAACAAGCAGCATTTTCTGTTTTGCCTCAAGTGCCAAAACCTCTCAGTCCAGCCCTACATATATTGTACCCAGTGCTTTTTTTCTGGGTGTACGCAGGGGTATGCATACCCCTAAATATTTTGTGAATCTTTGTACTTTTGTCCATTTACTGTATTTATTTTTCCCAATTTGAACTATAAATGGTGATTTTCTTGAGTCAAAATGAGAGCACCCCTAAGCATTTTTTTAAAGAAAAAAAGCACTGATTGTACCATAGTAAAGGCAGCAATGCGACTCGCTGCTGCAGATTACTGTCACTTATTTCTTTACTTCCCACAGCAGCCATGTTTTGCTGGACCGCATGACACCGTTATCAAAATATGATTCCCAGCACCTAATTTTTTAATTAAAAAAAAAACCACCCCCAAACAGAGTAAATATGTTATCCTAGTCACATCGGACTTTCAGGGAGTTGAAGAATGATCAAGGGCCCCACATACTGCTGCATGCCTTAGAAATGAAGATCAGTTCAGTCTGCTTTTGAAAACCTAAGTACTCCTAGGAGAAGACAGAGAACATCTTACGTGACGCAACCATCCTCAAAAGTTGGCAATTAGGTATGCACGTATTCCAGAGGCCCAAGGTGTAATTGTTGGTGACCACCCAGTAGTCTGAACACAGGGCAATGAACTACCATCACCTTAAAAAAAATTTGCTGCCCTCAGCAGCCATTTTGTGCTGGCACCCAGAGCACCTTTATCAAAATATGAGTCCCAGCACTTAATATTTTAACCCCCCCCCCCAAAAAAAGGACATGGTAAATGTGTTATCTCTAGTCACACTGGATTTTCAGGGAGTTGAGGAACTGTCAGTCCCTCCCCCCAAGTTACGGTTGAATATCACACCACTAGTACTCCGAGCAGAAGACAAAAAGCTTACCTCCCACATTCATCCCAAGTGAACCGCAAAAATTAATTGCCTCAGTATTAACACAATATTTCCAGAGGCCAGTGTGGTTCAAGCCATTTGCCAGCCAGTAGTCTGAGCCCAGGGCAATGAGGAGCAGCAGAAGGCTGATGAAAGCACAAACCACGGCGCTGATCTGTAGGATATGCATTGTGAGAACGGTCAGATCCGTGACTGAGGAGCACAATAGGGATGATGAACCTGGGGAAAGGAGACATTCACATTATTCCACATCAGTTGCAGGCTATGATTAGTTTTTTCTGTAAAGTTGCACATGTCCTGAGAGGCCTACAGCAGATTCATACCTTCCAACATTTCTCCAATGAAAATGGGGATGTCATATGCAATACTACTACTATTATTACTACTACCACTACTAATAATGTTTATACCTAGCCCATTTGACTGTTTTCTCCCAGTCACTCTGGGTGGCTTCCGACATATATACAGGGCTACCTACAGATGTCTTATAAAGGTTATAGTTACTTATCTCCTCGGCTCGGGTTCATACCCTCCAACATCTCTCCAGTGAAAATAGAACATCCTACCATACCCTTCAACATTTCTCTGATGAAAATAAGGATATCCTAAGGAAAAGCAGGACATTCCAGGTTTGGGTACAATTCTTTGTGTTTGGATAAGTGAATTTGTGGATAATGAGCAGACGGATAGCATAATGTAGTTCACTGAACTCCTTCAAATATCTCTGAGTTAGACCTGAAAGTAGTTTTCAGGGTTGCTGAGTGAACTAAAGATGAATTAAGTTTATTTTGGGGTAGAACTTTGAGCAATTTATAGTTCATCATCACTTGCATCCTCCCACACAGCAGGAGGCCCAGACTTTTAACTTCCTTTAAACAAAACAAAAAAAGTCAATGGGATAGCTATAAAGAAAGTTGAAAATCAAAATGTGGAGGCAATGTTCTTATTATAACCTATTTATCCTAGTGCCGATGGCCACATCTTATTGATAAGATTTTTCATGCATTTTTGAACCACAGAGTAGACACTTTTGTCCAACTCAACATTCAAAGCAGAAAATCTAAACCTTCAAGTGTGTGAGAGACATTCTCGTAACTTTGCTTTAGATCATGGTCACTGTTCACAATCCATCAATTTGCCCAGGTAAACCACAAGAGATAACAATCCCTTTATTCTACCAATGTAAGTGTCAAATTGCTGTTTTCTGCCTGTGTAATACATAGCACAGGTTTGAAGTCTTGCTAAGGAGCCAGGAAACAAGCATACCAAGGAATAAAGAAAAACACAGGCGAAACTGTTTAACTCAGGTTCCTGGGGGCAGAAGGAGGTGGGGGGAGTTGTCCCCTTCCCGCCTCATTTCTGAGGTTCTCAGAAGGAATAAAATTACTAAATAATGCTAGTAGACCAGCAATGGGGAACTGGTAGCACTCCAGATATTGCTGGAGTCCAGATCCCAAGCCAACATGGTGAACGGTCAGGAATGATTGGAGTTGTAGATCAGCCACATTTGGAGCGTCATAGCTTCCCTACTCCTGAAATATGGTCATTTCCAAGTTTTGCTGGACTGAAGAAGAAGAAGAAGAAGAAGAAGAAGAAGAAGAAGAAGAGGAGGAGGAGTTTGGATTTGATATCCTGCTTTATCACTACCTGAAGGAGTCTCAAAGCGGCTAACATTCTCCTTTCCTTTCCTCCCCCACAACAAACACTCTGTGAGGTGAGTGGGGCTGAGAGACTTCAGAGAAGTGTGACTGGCCCAAGGTCACCCAGCAGCTGCATGTGGAGGAGCGGAGACGCAAACCCGGTACACCAGATTAGGAGACTACCGCTCTTAACCACTACACCACACTGGCTCTCACTAAAGTCTTTGGTATAGAGGATATCTATTAACCAATCTATCTGAGATCTATGGCTCATCCTATTTCCATTCCATGACCATTTCACATGCATTCAGATATAGATCAATCTTGTCCTGTTTTTCGTAGGTAAGAAAAAGCACCAATAGCTCACATCTAAACTGTATATACTTTGCCATAAAGTACACATTATGTGTTTAATCTAGCTAATAGCTGTGCTCCAATCTGCGTATAAGTCCAGGTCTGGTTCACAAATTTCTCCTTTGCCCCTGTTATAGGTTGTATCCAATGCACCCAAGTTTTACTCAAAGAAGAGCCTTTGAGATTAATGAGCTTAGCTGAGTCATGTTCATTCATTACATTCCCTCCAACCTTCCTCTCTTGAAAATCAGGATGCATGGCTTTTGGTGCCACGTTCTTGTGGCAGCCAGCTGACTCATGCAAGAGAGGGACATTCTCCTCTCTGAGCTCAGCAGTGGTGGTGCTGGAGGGAGAAACAGGGCATCAGAAGCTGAACTGGCTTCTGTAATTCAGGGATGTCCTGGGAAAATCGGGACAATTAAAGTGTATGTCATTGCAATCAATTAACCTACTCTGACAAGGACTAGTGTTGGATACAACCCTATCCTACCAGTTTTCGTATCTCCCCTTTTTAAATAAATATGCAAAGTGACTCAGAACAAATCAGTGCCCCCCAAAATGAATTTTCACAGCAAAATAGGATTCGAAGAAATATCTTCGAACCCAGAAATATGGGACCCCCAACAGAGCTATGCCAAAGTTTTGTGATCATTTTGCAGCACCAACCTCACACTTTTCATTGTCTCTGAACCCCACACATGTATGAGTAACTGATGCATTAAACCAGCTTCATAGTTAACACCCGAAAACCTAGCATTATCCAACTCACTACAAATCATTTTGCAGTAGAATCCCTGTGTTTTGCATCGCCCACAAAACTGAGTAACAGATACAGCGGCAAACTTTGGAGTGAATTAAGGCAATGTTGAATTTGGGGTGACCAGTAAGGCCCACCCACTGGGCAAGTCAGCCACACAATTTTGGGCGCTGCCAAACGTGGGGGTTTGTGCTGCAAAACAAATTACAAAATTTTGGCTAAGACAATGGGCTTATCCACACTTCCTCTTGTCCTGTTACTTCCCACCCCCCCTGGAAAACCGCTCTCATGTTTCCCCCGGATTGCCATTGGTTCAGATCTACTTCTAAAAAGCAGGTTTTCCCTTGGGAAGGAGTGGGGCAAGGAGGAAACTGCTCAGACCCTTGCCTAGAAAGCCGTTAGGACCTGTACTTTCTAGGCACGGCACAAGCAGAAGTATGGATGGGCCCAATGTTGAATTTTGTGTGGTTGATACACAAAATAGGTTAATACACAAAATAGGAAGCCCAGTTTGATATATCAGTTACTTTGTATGGGTATTGGGGGGTTGCAAAATGTTGCAAAATGATTGTAAACCAGTGGCTCAGGTTTGGAGTGAATCAGGCAATGTTGGATTTTGGGGTGTTAACTAGGAACCCAGGTTCAATATATTAGCTACTCTGTTTTGCCCCTTTCTCCCACAGAAACCTGGAGATTTGTCATCTCACCTGGCTCAGAATCACTTCCTCCTTTCTCCAGGTGAAGCCAGCACTCTGGAACAAGTCCCTGGCATGCTCTGACTTCACCACCCCTTAAAAGGGGTAGGAAGAGATTAGCACCGCCTCTCAAAGGAACCACCCCTCTGTGGTTGGCCCCCATCTCTCTCTGCTGAGCTTTGTGTACTTTTGCTTCCTTCGTATATTCTCTGAATGGCTGAGCTTCACCTGCTGGTTTCTGCAGACCAAACCACCGCTAAAGACAAAGGAGGATGTCAGGCTATGAATTAGCACCACCCCTCGCCAGCCACCTGGCAACCCTATGCCCTCCAGGTTTCCCCTGCCAGCACCACCCCATTGTTGAATATCACTTTTCTGCCAGAATCATTGGTCTCAACTTATTAGTAGACACGGGTGGCGCTGTGGTCTAAACCACTGAGCCTCTTGGGCTTGCCGATCGGAAGGTCAGTGGTTCAAATCCCCATGACAGGGTAAGCTCCCTTTGCTTTGTCCCAGCTCCTGCCAACCTAGCAGTTTGAAAGCATGCCAGTGCAAATAGATAAATAGGTACCGCTACGGTGGGAAGGTAAATGGCATTTCCATGCACTTTGGTTTCTGTCACAGTGTTCCGTTGCGCCAGAATCAGTTTAGTCATGCTGGCCACATGACCCGGAAAGCTGCCTGTGGACAAACGCCAGCTCCCTCAGCCTGAAAGCGAGATGACTGGACTTAACAATCCAGTGGTCCTTTACCTTTTACCTTTACTTATTAGGGCCTTTGGGATGTGGGTGGTGCTGTAGGTTAAACCACAGAGCCTAGAACTTGCCGATCAGAAGGTCAGTGGTTCGAATCCCCATGACGGGGTGAGCTCCTGTTGCTCGGCCCCTGCTCCTGCCAACCTAGCAGTTCAAAAGCATGTCAAAGTGCAAGTAGATAAATAGGTACCGCTCCGGTGGGAAGGTAAACGGCATTTCCATGCACTGCTCTGGTTCTCCAGAAGCGGCTTAGTCATGCTGGCCACATGACCTGGAAGCTGTACGCTGGCTCCCTCGGCCTGTAAAGCAAGATGAGCACCGCAACCCCAGAGTTGGTCGCAACTGGACCTAATGGTCAGGGGTCCCTTTACCTTTATTAGGGCCTTTAAATGGTGGAAAACTGCAAAGTTGAATATGACAAGAAAGTGGTGCATCCAGCATTGGTCCATAGCCCTAATGGAAAAATTGACAAAACGTGTTAGAAAAAATATATACAGAAATGTGAGAGATAGGTTCCATGAATGGTGGCTTAGATTTCTCCCAGAGAAAGCTTGATTCAGCCCTCAAGTCTCAGAAGGGCTTTTGCTATGGAGTGGGAACCTCTACCAAACCTATTTATATCACCATTTTGGGTTTTTTGGGTTGTTGTTTTTTTAAAAAAAATGTTTTAAATACCACTTAATTATTCACATTTCTAAAAGCAACCAACTGGAAATGAGATAATCAAATACAAGGATACCTCGGGTTAAGTACTTAATTCGTTCCAGAGGTCCATTCTTAACCTGAAACTGTTCTTAACCTGAAGCACCACTTTAGCTAATGGGGCCTCCTGCTGCTGCCGCGCCGCTGGAGCACAATTTCTGTTCTCATCCTGAAGCAAAGTTCTTAACCTGAAGCACTATTTCTGGGTTAGTGGAATCTGTAACCTGAAGCGTATGTAACCTGAAGCGTATGTAACCTGAGGTACTACTGTAATAATAAAATATACTCTCAGGCACATGGAAATTTCAGGGACCACCTTTTAACAAGGAGTCTGTTTCCTTGTCCGGTGAAAGTATAGAGAGATCTGGTGACCTTGGTCCAAAGGTGCCAACGTTCTTTTAAACAGCGTAAGATTTTCTGGAAAGGGGATTAATTTGCAGGAGTGGTGTGGAGACAGCAAACACTTGTGCAAGAAATGGGTGTGTCGTCTTTGAATGAGGAGCTTGAAACATTTCCTTTATTTGCTCTATCACTTTTCTCTTCTTTATGCTACTGCCTTTCCTTTCCAGCTATGTAAACTGCTTGGGTGAAGCTTTACAAAACTCTGTGTGCATTCCTTTCACCTGCTTTCCAGCGTTGTGTTTGTACAGTATTTAATTAACCCTGCGTCACATCACATATTCTATGAACCAAACATTCGCTTGGGTCTTTGTCTGAACATGCAAAGGCTCTGAATGTGCCCAAGGCAGGGTCACACACACAAGCCCAACCTTCAACATCATTGCATGTGTTGCATTTCCTGCTCCCTGCCAACCTGCCTGATTTCCAACTTGATGTGCTGTGAAGATCTGCAGGGAGCATTCTGCTTGCATTCACGTGACTATGGGAAGGCTCCTTTGCAGAAATGGACTCCTTGCTTTATTGGCGTCCCTGTTGGCAGAGGAGGGTCAGGGTTTCCCAAACTTGCTAGCTAGGGGTGATGGGCGTTGTAGTGCGAAAACAGCTAAACCTAGGAAGTTTGCGCCAATTGGTGGTCATTCATTACGTATATGACAGGCCAAGAATGGCAAGCCTTGATAAAATGTGACTTTATTTGGTATTCATAACATTTGTTTTGCATTCTCTGTGTATCAGGTTGGTTTTTGTTATAACGTCTAAGTTATTGTCTAGTCCCGCGTTTCCCAAACGTGGTTTTTGTTATAACGTCTAAGTTATTGTCTAGTCCCGCGTTTCCCAAACGTGGGTCTCCAGCTGTTTTTGGACTACAATTCCCATCATCCTTGACCACAGGTTCTGCTAGCTAGGGATGATGGGAGTTGTAGCCCAAAAGCAGCTGGAGACCCAAGTTTGGATAACCGTGTAGAGGGTTCTACTTCACCGAATAACACGGGGAAGCTTGAGGTCTGGGGAGGGAGCATTAAACCTAAGAACATTGAGGGTGGGACTTGCGTGTCTTCTGTGTAGGCCTTCCCAAAGAGTTTTGGATGGAGATACCAAGTCCCAAGAGTAATTTAAAGAGTTGTTTTAGAAAGAGTAAGTTCTGTAGTTGTTAGTGGTCCCAACACCCACTGAGAAGTTGAAGAATGGACAGCATATTAATGAACATTACTTGGAATGGGGGGGAGCAAAAAAGAAAATTGTCAGAAAATGTTGCTGAAAACCCTCACATGATGCTGAATGAAAGTCTGTTTGTAGTCCATATTACTAGACAAAGGAAGCCATGGACCAAGAGTCGAGTGCTGGAAGGTGGAAGGGAACAAGCACTTTAATTTCTTTCAGGAACCTAAATGCAAGTGGAGAAGAAAGGTTAGGGGTCCTCTTGCTGAATTTTCCTGAGTGGGGCGGAATGTTCTGCAACTGTTTGAGGGAAGGAGGAGAGCTGAGAAAGCAAATTCTCAAAGAATTGCACAGAATATTCTTTCTTGAGGATTTTATTTTCCAGCCCTGTCCTAAAACCCTTCACTGTCAACAGCCATCTGGCTTAGTTCTGAAGACACCCCTTCCCTGAAATTTAAAGAGAAATGCCGTTTCTCAACTGCTTGCTTCGAAGTGAGAATTTATTTGAAGATTGTGGTGGATCTGTGTTTAAAAGCACGAGCTGGAAAAGTAACAATCCGTTACAGGACGCAGGTGCGTTCTGCCAAATGGGATTTGCCAATTTGCTCAGCATGTGAATTAGTGGATTCTTGTGATGACTTGTTTGTTTTCTATACTGTCCTTCATCCGAGGATCACAGGATGAGAGAGAGAGAGAGAGAGAGAGAGAGAGAGAGAAGTTTAAAAGGCATGAGAGAAGAGGAATGTCTTTGCCTGGTGCCTAAAGATATGTAATGAAGGTGCCAGGCAGGCCCCCCTGGGGAGAGCATTCCACAAGCAGGGATCCACTGCAAAAAAGGTCCGTTCTCGTGTTGCTCCCCGCCAGACCTCACGTGAAGGAGGCACATGAAGAAGGGCCTTGGATGGTGATTGCAGGGTCCATCAGAATTGGACCCCGTCTCTCTTTTTTCTCCAAAAAAATATTTTTATTCATTTTATAACACAAATAAAGAACACAAACAGAAAAACAAACAATACAAATTCTTGTCATATCCTTATTATTCTAAACATCGTTAAGGGGGCCTCCCCAGGTCCAACCTATCTGATTTTCATTTTACTTCATCTTTAGCAGTTTACATATATCATAGTTTCTAACCATCTTTTAATCACGCTTAAGATAACTTCACATTTTATCGCTTACAAATATTATTTTAAAATACACTATCTTCTACTTCTAACCCTACAGCCTATATCCACTTCCAAAGCTATTCTAAGATTTAAATATTAACATATTTTTTCAAATATTCCTTAAACTTCTTCCAGTCTTCTTCCACCATCTCTTCTCTCTGGTCTCGGAGTCTCCCGGTCAGTTCGGCAAGTTCCATATAGTCCATCATCTTCATCTGCCATTCTTTGATAGTTGGTAAATCTTGTTTCTTCCAATTTTTCACTAGCAATATTCTCGCAACTGTTGTGGCATACAGAAAAAAAGTAACATCCTTTTTGGGGATTTCACCCCCAGAATTGGACCCCGTCTCTACTGGCATCTAGTAGCAGCAAGCAAAAGATGGCAATCCCAGAAAAGAAAAAGTCTAGAATGGAAGCAAGCGAAAAATGGTTCCTAGGGCTGCATGCCACTAGGTAAACTTCCTGGTTGCTTGTTTTAGTATGAATTGAAAACTACAGATAGGGAATAGACGAATCGGTCCATTTCAGTTTCTTGGCATTTCTCATTTTTCTGATCTCCCCTTCAGCTCACCACATTCCCGTATCCCATTTATGCTTTCTTAAAGAATGTTGTTGTTGTTGTTTAGTCGTTTAGTCGTGTCCGACTCTTCGTGACCCCATGGACCAGAGCACGCCAGGCACTCCTATCTTCCACTGCTTCCCGCAGTTTGGTCAGACTCATGTTTGTGGCTTCGAGAACACTGTCTAACCATCTCGTCCTCTGTCGTCCCCTTCTCCTTGTGCCCTCAATCTTTCCCAACATCAGGCTCTTTTCCAGGGAGTCTTCTCTTCTCATGAGGTGGCCAAAGTATTGAAGCCTCAGCTTCAGGATCTGTCCTTCCAGTGACCACTCAGGGCTGATTTCCTTAAGAATGGATGCGTTTGATCTTCTTGCAGTCCATGGGACTCTCAAGAGTTTCCTCCAGCACCATAAGTCAAAAGCA